AACCGTTATTTATAGTCAAGATTTCAAACAAAAACGTAGTATAATACTGCGAATTACATAGTAAATTTCAATGACTTAAAACAGAGTTTCCACGTGCTTCTCAGCTTTTTCAGCAGGACATGTCAAATCCACAAAACGTAGTATTATACTACGAATAACATATTAAATGACCCTGACACGAAACAGGGGTTTCACATGCTTCTCAGCTTTTTCAAAATAAAGGACTAGATGCTTGATAGTTGGGTACATTGGACGAACTTGCACCAGGATTACCACCGCCACGCCCACCACCTGAAGGACACTTGCGACGGTCATGTCCAGTTTGAGAGCATATGCCACATTTACGCGCATAAACGGACTCACCAACATCCATTTGGTTCCGTATACGCGTTCTCTTTTGCACTTTTAGCTTGCGCAAATAGTCCTTGTTACATACCAACTTAAAAGGTTCTGGCGGCCAATAATGCTCAGCACCTAATGGATGCAACTTCCCACTATACGTGTCTACGTATGCTGCAACACTGTATTGCCTATCAATGTAGTTTGTTGCCCCATATCCAACTTGTTGAAAGCACTTCAATGCATGTGGGCACGGCATATGGTAGATGGTCCATTTCCCACATGAACATAACCTTCTATTTTCATTCACCGTCTGTAGATTATTCCCACGGTGTCCGTTGATAGCGGTCTTAACTTCAAAAACACCCCGTTCATGATCATACTGAAGAAACGAATGCCACTGTGCCCGCCTCCTGTACCTTTCAAATCTTGTCATGGGTATTGGCATAAATTCAACACCCCTGTCCATCAATGACGATGCAGCTGCATGCCTTTCAACAAACCTCTCCGCACTCTGTTTGAAAGTCATGCGGACCATGGCAGTGACAGGCAGTCCACGGGCAGACTTCAACAAGCCGTTGAATGACTCCGACACGTTTGTAGTGAGGGCTCCCCATCGTCTGCCGCCATCAGCATGCAATGTCCACATTTGAGGGTCATGTTGCATCAACCAAGTATAGGCTCGTGGTTCTATCTGCCGGATCGCTTCCATGCGCCTCGTGAATTTACACTGCTGGTGCTCAGTTGTAGCCATCCATATTAAGTCATGCAACGCCTTGTCAGGAAATTTCTTCTGGAAATTGGCCTTCAGGTGCCTCACACAGTAACGGTGGTATGCATATGGTTCCTGCCATTCAGGCAAGTGACGTACAGAACTTAAAATACCACCATGCCGATCAGATATTAGACAAATACCTGAACGCTGTTTGACAACGTGCTGCTTCAAGTGGTTCAAGAACTGCGTCCACGTCTCTTCACTTTCGTTGGCACAAATGGCAAAAGCTAGTGGAAATATTTGTCCGTTGGCATCTACAGCAACTGCAATCAAAAGCTTAATATCATACTTTCCATAGACATGAGTACCGTCTATGGAAATTACAGGACGGCAATGCACAAAACCATCAATTGCTGGTTTAAATGACCAAAATACATAGTTGAATATATATTCCGGTCTGTCCGGACTTCGCTCACTCCTCCATTCAACAACAGTCCCGGGGTTAAAGTGTTGCAGTGCAGCCATGTACCTGGGCAAATTTGAAAAAGACTTATCCCAGTCGCCATAAATAAGTTCAAAGGCACGTTTGCGACCGAGATATGCTTTTCTTTTGGTTATAGTACAACCATACTCCTGGTGGACGGCTGTAATACACTCTTTAATCTTGAACCTAATGGACACTTCCAAAAATGGAATCAAGACAAGGGAAATCAAGTCCACATCCAAGTTGAAGTGATTCTCATTGAATGTGTCCATTTCACATCTGTGCTCGCTAATAAATTTACCCACTTTCCACAAACCTGATTTCTTCTTTGTGGCACGCAGCATCCAGTGACAACCCATAAACCACCTACGGCATACAGCCTTGTATTTCTCCGTAGTTGACTCACTTACCATCATCTCACGACACTCCCTTATACTGTAGATTTTTACAGCCCTAACTAGGCGAGCTTTATCGGGGAAATACATGCCCTTTGTAAGAACAGCTGATCTAGATTCATCCCACATCACTGACCGTAATTCATCATCATCCCTTGTTAGGGCATCAACGTTAGGCATGCTTGGCAAATTATCAAGGTAGGGAATATTTCGCTCATGAAATGGCACGTGGGACTCATACACTTTTGGTCTAGCGGGAGGTGGAGGAACATGCTCCCTAGTCAGCTCAGGTTCAACATTCATTTCCTCCTCCTCATCATCACCCTCATCATGGAAGGGTGTCTCATCCCCAGACTCATCCGCATTGTTGTCATAATCACTATCATCCTCCTGACTCTGCGCATCTGCCAAATCACGAGTAAAAACGTCGTCTATGGGCAACTGTGTGAGGCCAGGAGCTTCAAGAAGCTCATTTTCACTGCACAAAACGAACAAAAACCTAAGTTACCCAATACTCAGGAAAAATACTTTAGATATCGCTATATCACTTTACTTACAAGTCGTATTGTCTTGACGTTTCATGATGGATATTTTCAGGTTGGTGATAACTCCCAGATGGACCATCGTGGTCCAATACTCCAGACCTACGCAGATTCCAACTAGGGGCGAGGTCATAACTTGTAAAATTCAAATCCGGACGGTACCCCCTATAAAAAATATGAGTGCTAATACAAATCCAATTAAAACATGAAAAAAAAATCGCTAAAACGTAGTAAAATTAAAGTTTACCAGTCGTCTTGTTGATTATATAAAGTGGAAACATTATTTTCTGGCTGCTCATTCGCCTGTGGTGACAAGTTTAAATCAAGGCAAGCTCTTTCATCTCCAATCTGTCCGGCAAACGCTGCTCCAGAATAACTACCCGATGACTGGGGGTTATCCCTGCTAAGCACGCCCTCATTACTAGGAACTTCTTCCACCTTGACGTACATTTCTAATAATTTATTACAATAAATTCCCTGTATTCATCCGAAATCCGCAAAAAATCTCTAAGAGTTTCATCATCCTCGATGTTAAACTCAGAATAATAAGCAAACCCCTGCGGAGTCACTGAATAAGGAAATCTACCGGTTACTTTAAGGCTAACCGAACGCCTCCGCTCACTCATTTTTTTACGTAGCAACGATACCAATGTATCGTACTCCATAATAAGCGGCAATTTAACATGACACTGTGGAGGTGAGCTATACCTCACAGAGTTATTCTCCACCACAATCTCACCCCCCCAATACAGTGAAACCCTTATTTTTGGCACTTCAGACATTGTAAAAAATTGATTGATAAGGAGAAGAGAGAATAAACGTATGTTTGAAGTTTAAGTGTTGAATGGATTTTTATAAAATTGAAGCGCCTATAAATAAGGCAAGTCTGACCTTGGGGTGTACAATTTTTCAAAGTAATTCGCAGTATTATACTGCGTTTTATGTATTTGAATTATTGTTATGTCAGTTAATTATTGGTGGGGCCTAAAATCAGCCTATTTCGCAGTACTGTACTACGAAATATCATAAAAAATTATTTTTTTAATATTTCGCAGTTTTATACTGCGAAATGCCTTAACGGCAAAAAATCCGTTAAGCCAATTCGCAGTATAAAACTGCGAAATACCCATTAATGTACTTTTTTTTTAAAACATTAAAAAAATACTTTTTGTGCAAAAAATTATCATTTAAGTTTCGGACTCAATATTCATCTTCTATCCATATTATTTGTCTCGTAAAGTTTTGCCCAACCCTTACGAAAAAATATTTGATAACTTTAATCATAGAACTATCATGTCTCTCTTCTTACATGTCTCATTAAATTAACACACCATAATTGGAATAATAAGGATTAGATCTAGAAAAAAATATGACACTGTTTTTTTTTCTAAGACAAGAGCAGAAGCAATAGCAAAATAGGGTGCCTTCAGCTTCCGGTCATAGAGTATTTTGAACGAACGGCAACCACAATTTTGTGAACTGGTAATCATTCAATGCTTTCTTGAATTAATTGCACTACATTATTAGTTGTGGATTCTGTGGTCGCTAGCCTCTGAAAGGACATCTGCTTTCTTGCCCACCTGTACTGTACATTGATTGTAAAATCTTGAGTATAGATTTCAAACATTAATGTTGATCATTTCTTAGAGTCAATTAGTCAAGCAAGATTATTAAGTGCAAAGAACATAACTACTTATTTATCTTAGTACAGAGGGTTCTAGTAGTGAACATCTTGTCGTCACTTTTGATAATTTAAAATTGGTTATTCATTTTTCTAATACAAAAAATATGGTACAACTGGAAAAAGAGAAGAAGAGCGCGAGAAATGTAATACTACCCCAAAACTTTTCACCTTTTCACATGATTTCATAGAAGAAAATTTCAACCTGACTTTACTGGAGTAATATATTTGGTGGAACTTATTATTTTACCAGTTGGTCAAGATTGTCTTGGAATTTTGCTCCCTAGAGTAACATGTAACGTACGAACGTGCTATAGAAAACAAACCAATTTATGTCCCTATCAAGGGACAATCTTCTACTGATAGGTGTACCAAGTGTGTTAGATTCAGAGTAGTTTAATCTTTTGTCGACAATTATCTTTTCTAATCCTTACACTCAACTGTGCCAGCTGCTATCTATAATCCATAATTTACTAATTTCAGAAGCGTAACATTGTATCTTTATTCCGTCGTCCGCAACGGACATTATAGTAACTAAGAAGTCATATATAATTTGAATCACAGTATCACGAGTTAATTCTTTTTATTTTCTGTTAACTAGACAATTGTACATAGCAGTGGCAGAGCCATCTTTAACACCCTTTTGCCTGAAGTTATAGTGTAGTTAGGTAATTTTTTTATGTATATATTATATGTTGAATATATGTGTGAAATTGAAAAATTTAATTTCTTTTATGTTTGCACTTATTATTATGAAAAAGTTGTGAATACAATGCTCCTCTACATTTTTCTAACTTTAAATACCTACTAGTATGTGAAAAGGAAAAAAAGGAAGAAAGTGAACTGCCTTTCCTTTCCTCTATAAATACCCCAGTAACCCTGTGTTTTTCTCCACATCACCATAAACTTTCAAAGAAAATGAGTGGTGGTGGAACGGAGTCGATGGCACGACCAACTCCGCCCAACGTTGGCGGCGATGGCGGTGGCACGAATAGCCAGCACAGCACAGAGCGTTGTGGCTATGGTTTTCATATGCCGTTGCATTACCCAAGATACACTCGATCAGAATATGAGAACATGCCAGAATGGAAGCTGGACTGTTTGCTTACTCAGTATGGACTGCCCATCAATGGAAATGTTAACCAAAAGAGGAAGTTTGCCATGGGAGCTTTTCTTTGGACCTATTAAGAGCCTGCAGATTCCCTTCTTCTCTCTATGTAAAACTTTTTAATATTGCAGTTTGTTTTTCGTGTATAAAGTTAAAACTTTCTCTCATAATATGAAAATGGGTTGATCGTATGGTTTAGTTTCTATAAATCTAGTATTTATAATTTTCGTTATCAATATAAGTTTTGATACAGATTAATGACTCAACTAAACTTAAAAGGATACTTCAAGAATTTTTTTTTCCTAAGTCAAGGCTCATATATACTCCAAAATCAGTGATCATCATCACTACCTTCATCTTTATTTTCTCCTCATCTTCTATCTAGGTCTTTAGTTTTATTTACCTGACATAGTAGAAGGTGCAATTAATTTATTTATATTCTAGCTGTATGTAGAATATATACATATTTAAATATTGATATTCTTTGAGCAAAAATCCATTTATGATACCTCGATGCACCACTGATCACACCATAAAGAACCCAAGAGTATGCCTTTATCATACCCCAAAATTTTGTACAACCATGTTATAAGTAACTGATTCAGTAGTTGTGACCAGAGGAACAATTCAATTATTAAAATGTTAAAATTCGAACCGTAAGATTATGATCCTTTAGAACCACCACTGCTACTGTAGACTAGTTGGATGATCTTCTCTATTCTTCAGTTAAGTATGCCAAATAAAATTCTCTAGCTATTGATTTTGTAAATGTAACGACCCGACCGATCATTTCGAGCATTTGCACTTCGCTCGGTAGTTTGGGGTACGAGTAGCTCCGTATGATGTATTAGGACTTGTGTGCAAAATTTGAGTTCATTCCGAGTTAATTTGATATGTTTCAGCGCGAGTTTTGGAAGTCGAAAGTTCGAAAGTTCATTAAGTTTGAGTTGACATGCGTTTCGTCATTTCGATGTTGTTATACGTGATTTGAGGCCTCGAGTGGGTCCGTATTATATTATGAAACTTTTTGGTATGTTTGTATGGGGTTCCGAGGGGCTCAGGTGAGTTTCGGATAGGTTTGGGCCGTTTTGCGCTCGTTTTTCTTATGTTTCGACTTCGTTTCTTCAAGCATAAATGGTACCAAATTAAGCAAATGAGCTCCAATTTCTGTTTTGGTTGAAGCATTGGATCCATTTTGTAATTACGGAGGCATAGAAAAAAGAATCGTCGAATTTGGAAATCGTATGAGGATTTTATGATCATTTTACCAAGAATTGAGTTACTAGATTTTTTCAGATTAATTACGAAATTGCCACTGCTTCGTATTTAAGAATCTGGACCATTTCCAAATATTGAAACCAACCTATTTATTTCATTATAAGGTCAAATGGAGTGATTCAAAAGCATATCTTGACTAAAATTTCACAAGGAATCCATTGGAGGCATCAAAAGTAAGTTTCGAGATCATTTGACATGTAAAACGAGGCAGAACAATTGGACAAAATTACTTAATATGGAAGGTTTGTTCATTTGGTCATATTTTGAGTTGGGAAGCTCGGATTTGTACAATTTTTGGAGGCGATTTTCACCATATGGATTGGGGGTAAGTGTTCTATACTCGATTTTGGTTATATTTCATGAATCCATCTTCGTTTTTGACATTTGATTGATGATTTCAAAGTGAAATTTGGGGGTTTTGTCTAAAATTTCATAAAGTATATTTTGGAGTTTTGAACACCGATTTGGAGTCGTATTTGAGTGAAACTTGTATGGTTGGACTCGTAATTGAATGGGTTGTCGGATTTTGTAAATTTTGTCAGATTCTGATGTACGAGCCCGGGTTGGGCTTTTTTTGCTGATTTTGGGTTTTTGATTAAATATTCGACCTTTTTCGATTGAGATTGGTTCCTTTAGCATTGTTGATGTATTTGAGTTGCTTTTGACTAGTTTTGAGCCGTTCGGAGGTCGCTACGCGTGAGATGGCACTCTTGGAGCATCACTTGGCTTGCTCGGCATTTGAAGTTGGCTTGTTTGAGATAAATAACTCTTCTAAACTTAGTGTTGAGGGAATGAAACCCCGGATTATGTGTTATGTGATTGGTGTTGAGGTGACGCACATGCTAGGTGACAGGCGTGTGGGCATGCACCCTGTGAGTTGTGGCTCTGTTGTTTCCAAGGCGCTGTTTAGTGGCCCACTTTGTTGATATTTGTGATTTTCACCATGTGATAAAGTAATTGAGCTGTACATCATGCTAGATATCATACTTAGGCTTTATGCTGATATTGTGGGACCCCTAGCGGTCGTTTCTTGCTGTCATCTCACTGATTTCATTGATATTTCGTACTCAGTGCAGATTCATGCATTCATAGCATATCTCAGTCTCAGTTGTTACTTATTGATACATCATATTATTATTTCGAGTCAGTTTTCATGACATTGTGAGCCCGTGGGTGAGACTGGAGAGATTGATGACTGAGTGAGGCCGAGAGCCTGATTATGAGTGACAGTTATGGGATCGGGCTGCACGCCGCAGCGTGTTTTATTGATTTATGCCATGATTGGCTTGTTATAGCGCTTGGGCTAAAGGAGCCCCTCCGGAGTCTGCACACCCCCAATGAGCGCGGATGATATTATTGAGGGATGGATTTCTCTGGACATGGATTTGTCCGAAGTATTTGATATCTGGAGATGGATTTCTCCATGGAGTTGGATTTGCCCTTTTCCTCGGTACTGGGTGACTAATAGTCAGTGTTGTATAAGTTTCGGGATGGATTTACCTAGGCTGCATGGGTCATATACAGTACCGAGTGGTTGAGAATTTATATATTATTGAGGGATGGATTTCCCTAGACATGGATTTGTCCTAAGTACTTGACACCTTGTCACGACCCCAAACCCGGTCGTGATGGCGCCCAACAATATTGCTAGGCGAGCTAGACCACAATCGTTCCCAAATTAACCGTAAACCTCAAACCGACAATCTAAAGAGATTATAATAGTTTTAGAATAATAATCCAATATTTATAATAGAATAATACTGAGAAAAATACGAATTCTCATAGGACGCTCCCAAAGACATGGGGTCACGAGTTTAGAGCCTCTAAAACAATCTGAATAACAATATCTGAAAGAAAATACTCAAGTCTGGAAATGTATATATAAATAAAACTGAAATAGGAAGAGTAGTCAGGTCCTGCGAACGTCAAGCAGCTACCTCAACAACTCTGAATAGCTCTGGAAAACAAGGACTGCTCAGCTAAGCCTCCGGTGTACCTGAATCTGCACACAAGGTGCAGGGAGTAGGGGTGAGTACTACCGACTCAGTGAGTAATAAGCATATAAAATGTCTGAAGATAAGAAATCCACGAAATACCACAAAGCAAAGCTAACACTAACAGTCCTACACCTTACTACGAACCAACAACAAAACAACTTCAAATATAACAGTCAGTAAAATGTAAGGATGCAATGCAATGCACATGAACACGCTGTGGCGTACAGCCCGATCCATTTAACGTCGACGGCGCTCACTAGGGGTGTGTACAGACTCCGGAGGGGCTCCTTTAGCCCAAGCGCAATATAATCATACGATTCGCTGCAGCGTGCAGCCCGATCCATACTCAGTCCACAATATGCATATGAGTCACGTAACAGATTCAATTAATTTTCCCAATTTCCAATTTATTAAGAAGAATATACTTTAGATATTTAACTTCAGGAAAAGTGACTTAGCGTTTCATAACAGTGATTAAACACAGGACTGAGATCAATGATTATACAAAGCATGCTATCACAATGACAATCATCCTCTAAGGATGCTACAGATCGGCACAAGGCCCCAAACACGGCAATAAGCCCAGATATATTCAATACAGGGTGCGTATCAGTCGCCAATATA